GGAAGGGGGAGGACGCGGGAGGGGGAGGGTCGGAGCGCGGCCGAGCCGAGCGGGGACCGCCACCCCGCCAGCTGCCTCGCAGGGGGCGCCCACCAGGCTCCCTCCCGGGCCGGGGAGCCGCTTTCCGCGGGAGGAGGCACAGCCCGGGGCGGGCCAGCCAGCGACCTCACTGGCCACCCCCACGCTCGGGAGGGTTTCGGTCAATTGGAGGGAGCCGGGCGCTGGCCTGGGGAGAAGGCAAACAGTTCGAGGAGGCCGCTCGGGGACCGCTCGCCGCCCGCCGTGCCCCTCCCGCTCCCCAGCGCCCTCGCGGCCCAGTGGCTCCTGCGCGCCCGAGTCAGCCGCGGAGACTGGGCGGCCGCGGGGACCGCCGCGGGCTTGGCACCGCTTCCCGGGCTCAATACTGCCACTATCTGACACAACAGGAGCAGTGTTGTGGGAGGGAGGGGGGGCAGCGGAGCCAAGGCGTGAGATGTGATAGGCTCTGGAAACTGGGGGCTTTTTTTTTTAACCTGGTAATTACATTTCACTTTCAGGGATTTATTTTTTTGTTAAGCTACATACATGCATTCAGATGCCTGTGTGTGTTTTTTCGCTCTGCGCCAGACGGGTAGACTTGAAGGAAAGGACATGGAGAACTGACAAAAGATGTACCTAGACAGTTCCCTGCTCAGGGTAGTGGACCTGAAGAAGATAGGGTGTCTCCCGTCCATACCCCAACAGTCGTAGTTTTCATCACTTTTTTAAAAAATTTGGGCTGGAATAGAAAGCCTTTTCTATTCCACTGAGACCCCTGGGACCACTGAGGAATGTAGCCAGCAAGGACGTTATAAGACAATGCAGGACAGGGGGGACTGGTTTTGCTTGTCCTCTCTGGGTAGAGCCTCCTTAGAACTCTTACCCCTGGAGGATGCCTGCCTACCAGGCAGGCGATCAGAGTTTTTGCACGTTAGAACTAAAGGATGATTTGGAAGTTGGGGGGGGGGGGTCCCCTCCCCAGCACTGCTTACCTTGTTTAACTGCTGGTGCTGTCAAGGGCCTTCATCATCTCATCCCTCTTCACAGGGGAATCCAGGGAGACTGGCCCCTGGGGACATTGCGGTTATTCATTGAGCTGCTGGCCACAGGGTTACCTGCCATCTGCTCAACAGAAGAGAGATGAAAGCTTCCACCCCCTTTAAGCTGTCTGAGAAACCCTCAAGGGCATTTCCACCCTATTGGGTCTCCATGAGTCAGAATCCACTGGATGGCAGAGAGTTTCGTTTTGGTGCGGGAGGCTCTCTGGAGGGGATTCCATGTGATTGTGAACAGAGAGTTCACTCCTCTCCAACCCCAACGTCCTCTGGTGATTCCCCTCCCCCACCCAGAGGAGTGTCCTGAGTGCCCACAAACTTCTTCTGTTACTCATCACCCTGGGTTAGAGTATGGTTTCCATAGATCTTTTACTAGCTTTTAGACTGGAGTATGGTTGTGGTATTCATTACTAGATTATGTTGAGTAGATGTTGACTGAGAACGACATTGGAGGAAGGAGTGCAACTGCCACCTGCCGTTTCTCTGGCTGTCCTGTGGACAGGAGCCAATCCCAGGGTCTTTTCTCCCACAGAGCAGCTGGGGCTTCCAGTAGTCACTCTGTGGATTTGTAGCCAAGCCCGGGAACCACCAGGGATCTGGAGAGTATGGTCAGTAGGAGAGAGCAATGCTTGCAAGGGGTGGGCGATCTGCCAGTGTGGTGAGCTGATGCTGTGGAATAGAAATCCCTGCACAAAACGCTAAGATCAAACCACCATTCACTTGATTCCAATGGCATCGGTCCATTTGCTTGTGTCAATGGTTGTGGAACCACTGATCAAAGCCCATTGTTGCTGTTGTTGTTACGTGTCTTTGGGTGCAAAAGAATGAAGCCCTGCTTGGTCCTGTGCCATCTTCACAACTATTGGGGGTGGCTATTGTTGAAGACCCTCTAGGGTCTTCCTCTTTTTACATGACCCTCTGCTAAGCATGATGTCCTTTCCCATGGACTGGTCCTTCCTGATAACATGTCCAAAGTATGTGAAGAACTCAGAGGGTAGGACAATTGTCATCCTTACACCCAAGTCTAGCCCATTGCTTTATCTTTTCTCACTTGTCCTCTCTCCCACCTCACCTCCAGTCTCCAAAGTCTGTTCCTTTTAGGATGAATGTCATTTACTTCATTTTAAAATATTTTTTCTTTGAAAGAGTGTTTTCATATAACACTTGTCCTTTTGTGAAGGACAGATTTCACTCCCAATGATGTTCTCCAGGCCCATGCATGTCATGAGGTGCTTCCTGGTTTACTCATTGTAGTTCCATGATGCTCAGTATCCCATCGTGTGTGTGTGTGTGTGTGTGTGTGTGTGTGTGTGTGTGTGTGTGTACCAGAGTGTTTTATCCACTCTTCTACCGAGAGGAAGGCTGTTTTCATCTTAGGATGTCTCCATCCTCTTGCTAGGGTGAACAGTGCTGTGCTGAACATGGGGTGCCTATGCCTATTGAAGGATGTCAAGTTAGATTTAATGGAAGAGTAAACCATAAGAGAGAGAAGAGAAATCAAAGAGGGAAGAAGAATAAACTTGTGTGGGGGGTGAGGGTGGGGAGGGGTTAAAAAGTTGAATACAAAGTTGATCATCTGAAATCTAATTTACCTAATTTATAATAAATATTTGAAGAAAATATCTTTTTTTACATCTGATTTTTAATAGTTTTGTTGGGACATAATCCATCTATCATACAATTAATAATAGTTCAATTATATCAAGGAGAGTTATACAATCATCACTACAATCAATTTTGGATCATTTTCTTTTTTTTCTGGTGCTCCTTGCAATTAGCAACTCATTTCCCCCTAGCATCCCCTGCCATAGCCCCAAGAAACCAGTGACTATCTCTATAGATTATAGATTCACCCATCTGGATTTCATAAACTGAAAAACATACAAAAACAAAACACAAAGAAACAAAAAAGCTAACAACAATAACAAAATAAAATAGAGAAAAACTCAATTGAGAAGAAAGCAAAAAATATTAAAAATTGGAAAAACTTGAAAGTGGGTCCAAAGGGAGATCTAACGAGAAGGTGTTGAGCTTACCCTAGCTCCTTCTAGAGAGCCACCGTCCACTCGCCAGTGCACGCTGCATGCTAGCAAGGCTATTCACATCCCCAGTCAATGGTGGCTTCACCTACATATATTTCCTCTTCACCTTTTAAAAATTTTCCAATCAAAATAACTTTTTTTGTCTTACTTTTCTTTTTTTAAAATCATTTTATTGGGGCTCATACAACTCTTATCACAATCCATACATACATCAATTGTGTAAAGCACACTTATACATTCGTTGCCCTCATCATCCTCAAAATTCGCTTTCTGCTTGGGTTCCTGGAATCAGCTCCTCATTTTCCTTTTTCCCTTCCCCCTCCATGCTCCCCACTCCCTCATGAACCCTTAATAATTTATAAATTATTATTTTATCTTATCTTACACTGCCCGGCATCTCCCTTCACCCACTTTTCTGTTGCCCATCCCCTAGAGAGGAGGTTATATGTAGATCCTTGTGATCGATTTCCCCTTTCTACCCCCCCTTCCCTCCTGGTAATGCCACTCTCACCACTGGTCCTGAGAGTTTCATCTGTCCTAGATTTCCTGTGTTTCCAGTTCCCATCTGTACCACTGTGCATCCTCTGGTCTAACCAGGTTTGCAAGGTAGAATTGGGGATCATGATAGTTGGGGGGAGGAAGCGTTTAAGAACTAGAGGATGGTTGTGAGTTTAATTATTGCTACATTGAACCTGAGTGACTCATCTCCTCCCCACTACGCCTCTGCAAGGGATGTCCAGTTGTCTACAGATGGGCATTGGGTCCCCAGCATGCACTCCCTTCATTCACGATGATATGATCCCCCACCCCACCCCCCCGCACCTTTGGTGCTTGAAACCTGGTCCCCTTGGCCCTTCGTGATCACATATGTTGTTGTGCTGCTTCCATGTGGGCTTTGTTGCTTCTGGGCTAGATGGCCGCTTGTTTACTTTCAAGCCTTTAAGACCCCAGACACTATATCTCTCGATAGCTGGGCACCATCAGCCTTGTTCACCACACTTACTTATGCACACATTCGTCTTCAGTGTTTATGTGGGGAAAGTGATCACACAATGATGATTTTTGTTCTTTGGTGTCTGCTA